TTTTTATTAAACAACTAGCCGTACTCGCCGCTTTGCTGGGCATATTTTATAAAATTAACATTATTATTTATTGTCATTATTATTAGGGTGTCCAAAACTTATATAAATATTAGCCTATCCATTAAGTACATGTTTTTTCTACATGGATACCAAGTTTCAAGTCAATCGGATGCATGGTTCAGTAGTTATAACGGAACATCCGCAAAAACCACTGTAGATTTATATATTAGTATAGATTGTCTCAGTACATGTTTACGGGTCGCGAAAACTTCAAAGATCACATCGGAAACGAATAGATAATTTGACACGTGTATGTATGTAGAAGAACAGATTAATCGATATCTATATATTAATACGTGAAGCAAAAACTTTGTATCCCTTTTTACGAAAATTGCGCGGACGGAGGAGTACGAAATTTTCCACACTTATAGAGAATATAGAGAAGAAGTGCACAATGCTAATATTTTTTTTAAATAATACATAAAAGATACATTAAATCAATAAAGAAAACATTACACACACTACATACCATGTATTTGACGCACACACGCATGCATAGGTACTACGAGTATTTATTGTCAAACTGGTGTTTCTGACGTCAAATTGAGAATAGATTAATTATTGTTTGTCTTTGTTAATATTTTTTATAGTGTAGTATTGGCGAAATTTGTGATTATAGAAGTATAAAATACAATCATAATAGTGAACAAACTTACAATTCCAATTAATTATAATCGAATTTCGACTACTGCGGGACCTCTAGTTTGTATAAATTCTCCTTATAAATATCAGGCTATCTACAAAATTTAAGTCTTCACGTATCATTCTATCAATGAATCCTAAAAGATTAGAACAAAAAAGCTTTAAGACTGAAGACATGAGATTCCTTTTTGAATAAATTCTCCTTCTCCTTATAAATATCAGGGTATCTACGAAAATTCAAGTCTTAATGCTCCATCATTCTGTGAACGAAACCTAAAAGATTAGAACAAAAAACTTTTTGAGACTGAAGACAGGAGTTTCCACCTGCGTAACCTAGAATACGTCGGGAAGACGTGGTGGGCACTGGGCGGGGCGGGGCGGCGCGACCTTTGACCCGCCCTCTCGCACCCCTCACCTCGTTCACCCAGCTTCACCCCCGCACTTTCACCTCCAGGGGTGCCAACTGAACGATGTAAGATTTCTTCATAGTACATTTTTCTTGTTACTTTCCTTCCTCAAATAAGGCTATATACAGGGTGACTTGTAAGTCGACGTATTCCTCTTGGGATGTGATAATAAATCTAATTTCCAATAAAATTAACCATAATGTCCCTAATACCAAAGTGTCTCGTTATCGAGATATTCAATATGTTACGATTTATTTTAAAAAAAATCCGAATTAACTGCAAAAAAATCATTAAATTAAATGCTAGTGTTTTGAATGAAGTTGTTTGAATTTTTATCAGTTACCAATACATCAACCAACATTTATTAATACTAATACTGGCACGAATGTCAAACATTTTAAAATAGCAATTGATTTCTTATAAAATTTTGTTTTGATTATCTAATTTGGTCGATAGAAAACTGGATTTATTTTGAAAAACCAACCAAATATTAAGCGTACAAACTACTAGAAAAACTTCCCTGTTTTATTAGCTTCTTAAAAACATTAAATTATTTACAAATAAGGAAAGATTCTCAGAAAAAAATGAATAACATGATAATTATAATAGGTAAAGTGTTGTTTGTTACCAGTTCAAAGACTTATTAACTAGAAGACATTACTAACTTAGAAGTGTTGTTAAGAAATTATTTAATACACGATGATTTTTAGTTTTTATAGCGTTCGATTATCTTAGGGTTTCACTGGCTGTACTCTTCACGCAACCATTGCTTGTTTGAGGCTTGAGGCTGAATTATGAACCATCATTATAATTTTACGCATGAAACTAGAATGGTAGCTTCACGAAATAGATGGTACGGTAACCCTGGTAACAAACCCTGGTAACAAGTTGGTGGTAGGACCTCTTGTGAGTCCGCACGGGTAAGTACCACCACCCTGCCTATTTCTGCCGTGAAGCAGTAATGCGTTTCGGTTTGAAGAACGCATTTACGTTGTAGATGTCTATGGGATCCAGTAACCACTTCCAAAACACCAGGTGGGCTGTGAGCTCGTCCACCTTCCTAAGCAATAAAAATAAATAAATAAAAAGCCATAGAACCGTCACCAAGGACCGGGGTTCCGTAATTCCTAGACTCGAATCTGGTGAGTAAGTTCCAAAATGTTGCTGTGGCTAGCTTCGTGTTACTCTGGCATCCCGACACAGACATCAAAAGTCCGCATAATTAGAACACCATAAATTATTCTTCGATCTTCGCGATTCGTCGATACAAAAGATATTTTTTCACCATTTAACATCAAATTCGTGACTTCAAAATTGGTGACCACGAAGATTGTATTCGAAATGGCCGAAATAATGAACTGTAATAATGATCTATAAACTTGATTTAAGTACTTAAAAATTATAATATGTAATGAATGTCTAAGCTGTTATAAATGAATTAATCCACCAATATAAGTACGAGATGCCAAAGTGATTCGCGCGCCACCTATTTATTAATAATGGTATTATAAAACCTTCTTTAATCAACAAAAATCAAAGAAAGCTTCAACTGATAAAATTCAAACCCAACTCAAACAAAAAAAATCGATTAAAATTCATGTATACATTAAAAAAACAAAACATTTTTGTATTAGATTAGGTAACGTATTAAATGAGTTAATATACTTATGTACATACAATTTATTACTATCTAAATATTCTTGTGAGTTAGACAGCCCTGGAAACGAGCAGCGAGCTTCCATCTTGGCCCGGGCATAGCTCACAGACGGGACGAGCTTAAGGAGAAACGTCTTCCGGTAACACAGAAGCTTTCGTCGAAATCGCGATATTTCTTTTAAAGGTTCCGTGTATGTCCAATATTGTTTATATGTCTGATGCTTTCCAAGAGTATAAAAGACGCGTCGCATTTACAATTTACAATTCAATATTTGATCAATCATAATATTCTTGTAAGAATTATTTGAACACTAAACTGTTTGCAGGTATTAAAAACATTTCTGTCAAGTACTAATTTCAATACAAACGCGAAATATGCGGTTGTTTGTTTATGTACACTTTCGTCTCGGGCTTGTGATGCAAAAATAAAATCTACGAATACAAAGCTATAGAATGTAGAATAAAGAGGAGAGAGAGAAAAAAAAAATTGGATCATCTATAGAAGGCCTTAACGTTTTTAACAATACAAACGCAAAAATTATCTCTTGTTTGATTGAAATAGTACACTTTAGTCTCGGAATTATGATGTAAAAATAAAATCTATAAATACAAAGTTATAGAATATATATTAAAGAAATGAGAGAAAAAAAACGGTATCTATATATTAATACGTGAAGCAAAAACTTTGTACCCCTTTTTACCAAAATCGCGCGGACGGAGGAGTTAGAAATTTCGCACGCTTATAGAGGATGTAGAGAAGGAGTGTAGAATGCAAATTTTTTCTTTAATTATGTATCAAAAATACATTGAATCAATAATTAAAAAAATACACAACTATCATGTATTTGACACACAAATATAATATATTTACTCTTTGTTTATTGTCAAACTTTTCTTATTGCTTATAGTCTGTGGTCGAATTGAGAATAGATTAAATATTGTTTGTCCTTAATATTATTTGTCTATAGTGTAGTCTTGGCGCAATCTGTGATTAAAGAAGTATAATAGTCTTTGACAATAGAACCTTAATAATGTTCAAACTTATAATGTTCAATTAATTTTAATCGAATTTCGACTACTGAGGGACCTCTAGTTATCCATAAAAGGCCTTATAATGTTCAGGTTACAACCGCGTCCGCGCGTCCGTAGACAAAGTGGCGTAACTCTTGTAATCGTATTACAGAGTCGTGTCAAACGCGTCACGCTGACGAGTGCGCAGGAGTGGCGCCCCCCACTACGGGGACCACGCCTATCACACCGCCCACCGATCTAGAACGATCTAGATCATTATATCGTTTTATTACTTATTCAAATTGTGTACTAGGATTTTTTGTTTCACAAATAAACAAAAATTTTTTTTTTAGTAAAGTTGCCAATAAAAAAACAAAAATTAACTTTATCTTTGTGTTGAGAATTTATGATATTACGGATAAATTTGCTATTTATTTATGTTTAGGTTACCAAACCTAAAATATAGTAAGCGTGATTGATTGTGATAATGGTAAATGTATTCGCCACGTCTCGATAAAGATCGTCTTAAAGTCAATAAAACATCTCGTAATAATTCAACACGTAAATATGTTGGTAGTTAGGTAAGTACGGCGGAGTGCCTATCAGCCGCGCAGAAATATGGAGGCAGCGGGAAAGTTGATACAAAGTACGATTTTCATGTACCGTCGACACAAAAAGCACATTTCTTGCAAAAATTGCATTAAGGCTTTCTTAATGTTCTTACTAAATCTTACGTCGTGATGACCCAAAAGTGATTTATTATATATTATAATTATTTTATTAATTGTAAAATTAAATTATAAACTTCAAGAGTATTTCACGGACACATAAGCGAACAAATAAATCGGTGTCACATTCGTCTTATTATTTTGTGACTTGTGTTGGTTATATTAAATAGCCCATACAAAATGGTGATTAATTAAGCAAATATTAAATTGATATCTTAAAATCATTGTTTGAAGTGACAATTCTCATTAATGAATTCAAGCAAACACCGTAATCCTCCATTAACACGAAGCAAGTTTTAAAATTTACAAAAAAAATTAAAATGTTTAATGTTAAGACTTATGTTGTCAGTACTGTAGCACTGAAAGATTTTCACCCCGGTGCGCGGGGAGGGGGCCGGTGTCGAGGTGGCGGGGCCTTCGCTCCCTGCCCCTGCGGGCCACCGGGCCAATGGCGGAGCGGCGCGCCCTGGCCCGACCCGAGCTCAGTCGCGACTGAACCGCGACCCTTGACACACTAGCGCGTCGCGCGTCTTCTCGCCCCGTGACCGCAACCGGCATCATCACGCACGGAGCGCTAGTTTACGGCGGGGTCGGAGGCCCGGGGCTTTGCCCTCCGAGAGGCCCTGACCACCCGCCCCTCGAACTCGGCTTTCGCGGTAGTTGGAGGGAAGATGAGCATTTGCCTTCGACTCCCGCGAGTCAGGCCGCGTCGACGCAGAGCGGTTCCTCCGCGACGGATAAAGGCCAGAATGTGGAGTGCGTGGTCTGCGGTGACAAGTCCTCCGGGAAACACTACGGCCAGTTCACTTGTGAGGGTATGTAATGACGTGAAGTGAAAGTGAAATTCTGTGTTTATCGCATAGTTGGGTTGCGGTGTGCAGTTTATTTGTGCGTTGTGGTATATTTTTGTGCGTACAAGGAAGTAGAGTTAGTAGGTTAGTGGAACATGCGAAACGTGAGTCAGAATAAAAAAAATGTGCACATGTTTTAGGTAGTTTAGGATCTCTCGAGCACAGGATAGAACGGAGTTCTCGCGTTTTCGAATTAAAAAAACGAATCGGAACGCAATACGAGAGTTTATTGTCTTAAAGAAATCTTTTGCCTCGTTAAACAACAAAAACTACAACCAAAACCATTCAAATATACATTTAAATGGTAATTCCTCATCGGACACGGCCATCATCGAATCAAATAGAAATTCGACGCCGATTGAATTCGAAACAGATGTGATTCCCGTAACTCGGCTACGTTATAAAACGTTTACTTTGGTAATTGTTTGAGCAACAAACTATAATCTATACTAATATTATAAAGCTGAAGAGTTTGTTTGTTTGAACGCGTTAAATCTCAGGAAGTACTGGTCCGATTTGAAAAATTCTTTCAATGTTAGATAGCTCATTTATTGAGGAAGGCTATAGGATATTTAACATCACGGTAAGGCCAATACAAGTGGAGCACCAATAAAGAATATTTCAAAATAGGGATTTAAATAGCTCCTTAACATTTTATAAATCAAAAATATTTTCACTTTCTACGTAAATCAATTAGGGGTAAAATTTAGCGTTATGCCAAAGTCACTATTTCACGCGGACGGAGTCCCGGGCAAAAGCTAGTGAAACATATATAATATGTTAAAGCGTTTGATTGGAAAATTATTTATCGTTAACTTGAAAGTTATGGATTAATAAAATGTTTTTGTGTTTATTTAACTTTCGGAATATGGGTAGGCACCTACGCGATTTGGAAATGTAATGAAAAACACGTTGAACCTAATTAACTAAATATTTTTCCTAAATACTGTGTATATATAGTTAAGCAAGTATCATTTTAATAAAAGTGTGATAATGAAAAAGGTCTCAACTTTTGCAGGCTAGTTTTTAAAAAAAAACGAATTACCTAGTAAAAGATACGACGATTATTGAAAAAAGTCTTAGTTTTTATAGGCCAGCCTTTTTTTAAACTTCTCGTAGGTAATAAAAGAATGACTACGATGCAATTTTGTTTATTGCTAACAATGTGATCTGTTACAAAGTTTTTCAAGTCCACTTATTGCACTTATCTACAACCCGGCTAAGTAAGCGGCTAAATTAATCATTATCATTAAACGTTAAACTTTCTTGTTAACCTCGGAATTATGAATTAACACTGGTGAGTCGAGCCCTCAGATCTAATCGGATCGCAATAAGACAAAGTTTTCATAAACTGCCTGCCCGAAAAGATAAGGGGCGGTTTCACTTTTGCAAATGCAAATTAGGCAATCGCAGGAATTGCTGTTTGTTGAGTTATACGATTTCGGTACTAACACTCTCGTACTGTCGATTTTCCTAAGCATTTTAAGTGTCTCGGGAAATATTCGTAATTTTTAAAACCTAGTTTTTTTATGGAGCTTTTAATATTATATCATCAATTGTTATCGAGAAAACGGATATAATTATATTCCATTGCTTTTCTGAAAAATTAGCTATTAAAATTAAATAGAAGTTTATGAATACATTTTCGATCTGCGCGAAATAAAATCGCAATACCAATTGAGTATGTTTCTTTAAAAAAACCTGTACTATTCGATCTAAAATTACAGCTACACTACATAGCTTTTTTTTTTTTATTTCTCTTAATGTTGCCATCGTTAAAACTTACTTTACCAAATAGTCTTGATAACATTTTTAAATTTCGAATAGAGTTTTCTGTACGTTCTGGTTTTGACCACAGATTACTTAGATTTCAATATGGCGCAAACTGCCGATTAATTCTGTTTTTTTTTTTTGTCCTACCTATGCTACTGACCGACACATAAGCAAACGAACTAGCCGTCGGAACATTATAGTAGCTAACAACCTCTAAGATTGAGACAGTAGTAATATAGGGTTTCGTGTCACCGTGCAATCTAAGTGCCCGTAATTGGTGTGAACGCTCTGACACGGATTGAGAAATGTGTATGTCATTACCTTTGCACTTACAGGGTGTGTTTTTTATTTGTTGCCATTTTAAGCATACGACCTGACGGTGAAGAGATATCGCCGCTCATGGGAATTGCGCCACCGATCCTGATGTGGAAATCTCAATTGTATTCGAAACATAAGCTGATTTATCAGTGCGAAGTATACGCAATACATATTACTACTAGCTTTTGCCCGCGACTCCGTCCGCGTGGAATAGTTACTTTGGCATAACGCTAAATTTTACCCCCCACTTCATTTACGTAGAAAGTGAAAATATTTTGAAACATTCTTGATTGATGCTCCACTTGAATCGGTCTTATGATGTTATATAGCCTATAGCCTTCCTCAATAAATAGGCTATCTAACACTGAAAGAATATTTCAAATTTGACCAGTAGTTCCTGAGATTAGCGCGTTCAAACAAACAAACACTTTAGCTTTATAATATTAAGTATAGATAAGTTAATATATATCACCCCTTGGAGTTTATTGGTCCAGACTGTACTGAACCCTGCTGCCCAATTTCCGGAGAAGCCTTTACCGGTTTTTATGTAGGTCATCTTCCATAACTACATTTTATAGTACGCCGCGTTACTTCATACATTTTCTTCTTGAATGAAGTGGTAAAAACTTGATTGGCCCAAGATTAGATCACGTCCAGAGTCAGGTCACGGATCAAGTCTATAAGTACGCTGTGTTACTTTAGTATATTTTCTTCTTGAACGAAGTGGTAGAAGCTTGACTGTGGGTCTAGTTTAGCTCACTTCCAAGATTACCGATTTTTTTTTTATTGCTTAGATGGGTGGACGAGCTCATGGCCCACCTGGTGTTAAGCGGTTATCGGAGCCTATAGACATCTACAACGTAAATGCCGCCACCTACCAAGACCAAGAATTAGGTAGGATATAAACGATTGCCGACGCTAAAAATAAAGTTTTTTCTTCTACGATTCTTGTCCTCCACCGATATTATGTAAGTTTCATTGCGATAATGCAGCAAAAGTTTTTTTTTTAATATTTTGTTTCCCATGAGGTACTCTCTGTATTTTGGCTAATCTATAATATATGTACGTTATATTTAGATAGGGTATTTATTCTTTTACGCATCGAAAAACAAAATTTTATTTATTCGAATATTAATATGATTCAATGCGCAATATTGTTTCTTAATTTAGGAAGGTATTTTATTGACTTTTAAATCCATCCAAGNAAGTTTTTTTTTTAATATTTTGTTTCCCATGAGGTACTCTCTGTATTTTGGCTAATCTATAATATATGTACGTTATATTTAGATAGGGTATTTATTCTTTTACGCATCGAAAAACAAAATTTTATTTATTCGAATATTAATATGATTCAATGCGCAATATTGTATCTTAATTTAGGAAGGTATTTTATTGACTTTTAAATCCATCCAAAAAAAAGTCCAGCTAAAGCAAAGCCAAAAGCATTTGCAAGCACTTCAAGACTTGGATAATATGCTGTTTAAATACAAAACCACATCCTTAACTTCAAACAATAAGGTTGTTTTTACAATCTTATCAAATAATTCGGGATTATTATTGCGGCGACGATCGAGTCGGTCACGACTGTTTGACTCGAAAGGGGTCAGAAACGCCTCAAGCGACCTCACCGATAGCGATTCATACACCTGCTTTATGTAGACCACGAATATTGTAATAAAATTCAATTGGGGCTCGTGACCTCATGTCTCAAAGTTGACACCGATACTCACGTTTTTTTTTAATTGCCCGTGTAGGCAGATGAACATACGGCCCCCCTGATGGTGAGCGGTTACCGTCGCCCATGGACCTCAGCAATGCCAGGAGCAGAGCCAAGCCGCTGCCTAATTTTAATGACTTAAAATTACGTGAATCAATCTATTTACTAATCCAATAAAAAAAATTACAACTTCGTTCTTAATGAGCAGTATTGAAAATAATACATATTACTTACTTGTGGTAGGACCTTTTGTGAGTCCCGCGGGTAGGTAACACCGCCCTGCCTATTTCTACCTTGAAGCAGTAATGCGTTTCGGTTTGAAGAGTGGAGCAGCCGTTGTACTATAAAACTGCGACTTAGAACTCATGTCTCAAGGTGGGTGGCGGCATTTGCGTTGTCTATATCTATGGGCTCCGATCACCACTTTACACCGAGAGGCCATGAGCTCAACATTCCATATAAGCAATAAAAATAAACTTTCTTACTCGGTCAAAATGTTGGCACAATGAGTACTGTTCGCTGGACGAGCACGTCTTAGATACCGAGCTATTACCCCTTACTCAATAATATATCTAAAGACCCAATTGCAAGTTAGTCACTTAGACCAATACCTCAGTGTGATAGATTCAGCAAAAACACTGCTCTTGTTAGGGCCGATGTTACTAATTCTCTCAGGTTGAGCCCGTGAGCTCACTTACCCGTTCATGAAATCATCGTCGTGGCCTAAAGGATAAGACGTCCGGTGCATTCGTGTTGAGTGATGGACCGGTGTTCGAATTTCAGGTAGGTACCAACCAATTTTTCTAATGAAATACGTACATAACAAAAGTTCACGATTGACTTCCACGGTGAAGGAATAACATCGTGTAATAAAAATCAAACCCGCAAAATTATAATTTGCGTAATTACTGGTGGTAGGACCTCTTGTGAGCCCGCGCGGCTAGGTACTACCAGCCTGCCTATTTCTGTTGTGAAGCAGTAATGCGTTTCGGTTTGAAGGGTGGGGCAGCCGTTGTATCTATACCTGAGACCTTAGAACTTATATCTCAAGGTGGATGGCGCATTTACGTTGTAGATATCAATGGGCTCCAGTAACCACTTAACACCAGGTGGACTGTGAGCTAGTCCAACCATCTAAGCAATAAAAAAAAAGTCC